ATTCCTTGCCTGTTTGGTGGTGTGGTGTTAGCTTTGAATGTGATGATTGTAGACCTGAAGAAGGGCTTAAAGCCCGAAACGTCGTCAATGCAATAAACGACTGCGACGAGTTTCATTTTACCAATCACAAAGAAGACAAGACAATGAAGCTCAGGAATCCTCTTATATTACATGAGTAGTCGGTGGTATTCAACAATTTCGATTTTCACATACCATTAGGCGGGAACTTTTCTGAAAGTTGATCTTTTTATGTTATTCAGTGCCCTGATCAAGACTGTGGCACTTACTTTCGGCTGTATTGCCACTCATCGGCATTTTGGAGACACTTCTTTCTCCATTGGAGTTGCTATGTGCACTCATTTGAGAACTTTCAGGGTCATTCTGACGCCAGATTGCGTCGACACCAAGAATAAGTCAAAATCGTGATCAGAATCATCGATATAGGCGAACTTACGGCCAAAAAACTCTTTTTATGATACTTTCTTGAGTTGTGACAGAGCATTTGGTCGGCAATGATTACCGGAGTCTCATGGTCACACCTCCGGAGCGGTAATGGCGCAACAGTGACGTGGCGGGCCGCCGGGCAGCCGTATCGCGGATTTGGTGCTCATGAGGACCATTCATGCTTGGCATGGGCATGGATGGCCGCAGAACAAGTGAAAGACCATCCTGGACATTTGTCGATATCTAGCGACTGCTCGCTCAACCAAGATGTCGTTTTTCCTCACCAAGAGAAGAGATACACTAGATTTCCTTCACTTTTTCAAATGCACCTAGGGGTATTAACCGTTTTGTTCTTTTTCTCTATGGGTTTTATCGTTATTGCTAGTTTTGCGTCTCCGCACACTGAATGAGGGTTTAACCAGCAAAAGTACGACTTCAACAGAGTGACGCTTGAGTATAACCCAACACACAAACTCAGGAAAGTCAAAAAATTTTTTGGCCGTAAGTTGGCCTATAGGGGTAATCGATGATCCTGATCACGATTCTGACACTTATTCTTGGTGTCGGCGCAATCTGGCGTCAGAACAGCCCTGAAAGTCCCTCAAATGAGTATATAGCAACTCCAGTGCTAGAAAGAAGTGTCTCCAAAATGGCGATGAGTGGCACTACAGCCGAAAGTAAGTGCCACAGTATTATCAGGACACTGAATAGAATATAAAGATCAACTTTCAGAAAAGTTCTTGCCTAATGGTATGTGAAAATCGTCGTTGAATAGCTCCGACTAATGTTGTATATATTTAGAATGCGCCTATAAATGGTAGAATCCGAGTGAAATTCATAAACAGACATATATGGACGAGAACAGCGGAACATAAAAAATGCAAAAACTCGCAAGCCGAGGGAAATCGAACCATGAACCCCCACCCTCACTGTTCCATTGAGCTCCACACTATCCACTATGCCGTCCGATCTTGTAGCTGAACACCACTCCGATCGCTGAAGAAACCATTCCAACGAGCCGCTCAGAGTCGCTCACTCTGCCGCGAGTAAGATCCCCTTTGCGACTATTTTCCTTCTCGATTCCTATAGCACGTTTATAAGGACCCCCCCCTCAGCAACTGGTCAAAGTTGCAAGTGATTTAGAGCCCATTGAGGCTCAAAAACAGTCGGTTTCCATGGACTTCTTTTTCACTCCTTTTTTGGTATTCCCAGAGGCGTTCAGGAAACATGAACATCAGTTGGGTCCGTCCCTAACGACCCCTGGTCAGAGGCGCGAAACTTTTCTTTTCGTTTTTTGCGTTTTCGTTCGGTGTTATCTGTTTGAATGACATACATCCAAACATCAGTGTCTGGAAGTAAATTAGGCTTGAAATATGCAAAGAATATCGCCTTGCTATGTTCAGAAGCTTATCGCTTGCGTTGTCGCATGCGTGTCTGCGACCATGCAGATAAAGGATCCATTCATCAGATCATTTCCAGCGCTGCTCTCCAGTTTGTCCCGAAATTCGCCGATCTCTTCTCTGAACAGTATTATGAAGGCTCAGCTTCTTATTGTCCTACTGTAGAGTTTTAGGCAACAGGACGCATTTTCCTTGTCTCATTTGTTGAGTGGTTCGAGTAGTGCTGAGCTGTGTCCTTTTCGACTAATCGTGAGCTGTGTTCTTAAAGGCATACTCCGCGATGGTTTTTAAATGTGTCAAATGATCCCGGTAGGCGATTGCAGAGGTTGTACTACATTCAAACAGTGAAAGCTTGCACGAATGTCAGTAGAAGATGAACGCTTAGGCCCATGTGTACCGCCTGGGTCCATACCGTCCCCCAGTGGCTGCTATACACTAGCTAGTGGCCACTATGATATTTCTCTCCATCCGAATGGTGAAGGAAGTGATAAGATGAAAGAGCTGATGTTGTATAATAACAACCATGGGCATTCGTACAAACACGCCTTCTTTTCATTGTATGCCCATACAAAGTGGGATCGGCATGGAGTCCTATATAGGGCATTTCGGACAGTTTTTTTTCTGCTTTTTTTCTCCTTTGATCAGTTACCTAGGGTCTGTATGGGCATTAATGGAGAGAAGCACTTTATCGTTCACATGTGAATCCATTATCCGCCATCTCTGCGGTCGCGAGCTTTGCCTTTGAGTCATGTGGCAGCACATTGTAGTAGTTGTCATAATTGTCAATGTAAATTTAGAAGTTGGACGTGCATTCTCTTCGCCTTCTCGTTGAGGAAGTTGTTGCGAAAAGAAAGGAAACTGAACCGGAGATAGGCATATCAACAAACGCGTTGTTCCAGGGGAGTACTGCATCTTCGCAGCTTGAAATGCCGATTGATCCACAAAGTACTCGTTTTTACCTTTATATACCATTTTCACTTTGAATTCACTTCTTTCAAACCAAATTCACCCATTTTCAAACCAAATTCACTCCTTTTCAGACCAAATTCACCCCTTTTCGGACCGAATTCACCCCTTTTCAAACCAAATTAACCCCTTTTCTAACCAAATCAACCCCTTTTCAAACCAAATTCACCACTTTTCAAATCAGATTAACCGCACTCATTAGGCCGGGCAACTCATCATCCAGATCACGCAAGACACCACTGCGAGCCCCCCCTCGATGGCCACGCCTACTTGCCAGCGCGGACATAGATTTTCAAATCTTGTTTCATAGTTTTTGCTTATGTGACTTTTCTTGTCTTTTGCTGTTTCCCACGAACACTGACTGAAAACGACTGAGCGTTGACACATGGCGGACTCCGCCCATTCTCTGAAGGGTTTGGCAATATAGGCATCCCCTGACCACACCCAGTTGCTTGGAATTTTGATATTTTTCCAAAGTTTTTCTTTTAAGGGCTGCTGCGCGAAGCTCCGTCTACTGTGAGAGACTCCGCCCACCTTGAAGAGCCTCGTCCACTTTTCAGAAATGGTGTAAATCGGCAGTATAGGGCCTCGGCCTTCATGCTATTGTCTCGTTCGTCACTCATAACAAGAAAATCAGACGAAGTTTGTTCCGAATGATCAGCAATACCCTAGCATGCCAGCCGAGACTCTGACTGCCGAATTGCACCATCTTCGAAAAATGGGCGGAGCCTCTAACAGTGGGCGGGGCTTCACGCAGCAGCTCTAGAATGCAAACACCTTGAAAAAGTATCAAAATTTCGCGAAAAGCAAGTGGACGTAGTCAAGGGGGGGGGGCGGTGCCTAGATTGCCAAACCGTTCAGAGACTGGGCGGAATGCCCGGTCGTTCAGTCAATTTGTGGGAAACAGCAAAAGCAGAAGTTATGAAATAGGATTTCAAAATCTATGTCCGCGCTGACACGTAGGCGTGGCCGTCGGGGCGGCTCTCGCGGTGGTGTCTAGGTGGTATCTAGTTGATGAGTTGCTCGGCCTAATGAGTGTGGTCAATTTGATTTGAAAAGTGAGGGTGAATTTGAATTGAAAAGTGGTGAATTTGGTTTGAAAGGGGTGAATTTAAAGTGAAAATGGTATGTGTACATATATGTAAGGGGCACCCTAAGTATTGGCGCATGTCTCACAGACCGTGTTTTATTTTTTACTGTATTATTTTTTTAAACAGAAACATTCATGTACTGCACGAGAGAAAGTTTAAAGTGGCTCCTCCTTCGGCAACTATTCTAACTACTTTTTTCTACTCTTTCTGAACCCTAGTAACTGATTTAGAATTCGTCACATGTCTTTTTTCAAAAAGAAAGAGTCGAAACATTCTTGTGGCCAGACCTGCTTCACGAAGCTTCAAACCGCAGAATCCAAGATGCTCAAATCAGGCAAGATGGAAGAGTGGGCTCTCTCTGTGGTTGACGGGTCGGACAGCAACTTGGATTTTGCGGCAGATCCTTTGCGGATATCACCATTGAAGTTTTTCATTTGCAGAAAACTTTCTCCCAAATAGTGACAGATTCCGGAAAGCGGCTCCTGGTGTGCACACGACGTTGGAAGCACTGTCTTTAAGCTGGATCCGGCAGCTGCCAATTTTTTTTGGACTCATAATTCATTTTCTGTCTGAAGATCGTTTGGTTCCGCCACATCATCTGGATGCTGGCTTCGTTGTAACCTGTGAACCACAAACTTAACTGCTTTCATTCATTTCCAGCCCTAGTAAAGGTAAATGCGGTGACTGTTCTCTATGATCTTACGAAGTCGCACGTTTCTTTGTAGCCCACCCGATCTTTTTTGAGAATGAACGCTACCGTTCTTGTTACAAGTTCAAAGGTTCTTGCTGGGAACCGAAGTTGTGGAACAATCTCTAAGGCACTTGAAATTTCATCTGTGAAATGAGCGATTGCGGACACGCAAGAGCTTGTGACAAAAACTTTAGATCACGTAATATCATAATACATTATCGTGATACATTACATGTACAACATAATCATTCTTTTCTATTCTTAGAAATTTTCTATTCTTAGTTCTACGCGCGAAAGTTGTTTTGGTTTACAATCCATAACTGGATTGGAACGGGTTTGTGAAATATGTGCCAATTTTTAGTGGTACATGTGTGTACTCTCTGATGACGATCTGAGAGAACTTTTTGGTTGAACTGGTTCACTTATCCAGGTCCACTCGCCCGTGCGTGCACTATTTGCGGTATTCTGATTCACAAAAATCACCTTCCTCAGCATGAAGCACTTCATAATGCAACTACTGAGTCAGGCTTACGAATCATCGATACGCAGTCGCCTACAGGCGGTTTCTTTTGTGACCTGTGTGGAGTTGCTTTTCGGTGAGTATGATATGCAGTTTTAGATGGAAACAATTATAGAGCGTTGGAAAATTTTGTATAGATGTAAATGGGATTCCCAAGTAACATTAATGACCAATTTGTATAAATTCATTGATTGTCCGCAAATTCCTTTCCGCTACTTTCAGGAATAGAGATAATCTGTTCACCCATTGGAGGTCCAGTTGCCCAGAAATCATGGTCAGTTCTCATTTTACAAATTCAGTCTACACTTAGATTGTTCTCTAGCCAGCTTCAGTTTTCGAAACTTGATGTACTTCTAATGATCTTGGTCTCGAAAATGTTTCGAAAGATCACTGCTGTACAGGACTTTTAGGCCAACCTCGAACCTGGCTCTGAGTTATATTTGAGCGACGTGGAGCTCAAAGCAATGGTATTGAATTTGTTGTGGAGGTTGAAACGTGTGTCTCGTCAGTCGCCATTGCGATCCATCCGCACCAGTCCGTTGACTTTTTTAATTAATTTATCAACTCTTCTTCACTTCTGCGCCTTTCAGATAGAAACTATGTGGAGGAGCTCCATAATTTGACGACTCATCGCGACGTAAGTTGTTTTGAGAATATCTGCATCTGGCGCCAAACAGGATATAGCATCGTTGTGCGAAACATAGGGGGGGGGGTCGTTTTTGGCCGCTGGGGAGGGGGGGTCGCAATCTCAAGGGTCACTCAGAGCCGGGCAATGTTCGACATCTCAGTTGATAGTGGGAGTGGAGCTATGGAAGTCAAGATGTTTGAAAAAAATGAAAATTATCATGAGTGTATTCTTTACAGATTTAACTGCTACGTTAAGCAGCCCTTTTTTCACGCGAAATCCCCAAAAATGGGTTCGCATTTGGCCGCGGGGGAGATTAGGAGTATCGCAGAAGTAGGCTCGCTAGGCATCAAACAGTACAAAAGTGTCATTGCTAAGTTTGATGGAACGGACGGAAAGACCAGAAGAACGGGATGTAAACAGGACTACAAAATAGTAAAAAAATTATTATCAATATAGCAAGAACAGCAAGAATAAATAAATAAATATTAGTCAATAGCAGGAACTCATGAGTACGTAGATGACTAAATAATACGTCTCAATCAGATTCGTGCGTATTGTCCTTTCCAAACCCTAAACAAACATCTGCTTGCATGGATAAAAGCACCTGGGATCAGAATTCACACCTTCCACCACCTCTGCACAGGAGCGTAATGCACGGCGCACACTTAGACCAAATCGATCAGTGATAGCCGAGCTCCTCGATCATTCATTTAAAGGGAAATATGTGTTTTAAAAGCACACTGAAGTTTCCGAAGGTGTATCCTCACAGTGGCACAGAGGGAGTAGATTTTTGGGTGGGTCAGAGGGTAGCGCGTCTGACCCATCTGAAATATCTCCTGATTTAGCGGGTCTTCAGGAAAACTGTAAAGCTTTCGGAAAGAGAAAAGATAGGGCGGTTTCGAGACGATTTTAATCTTGATGTAATTGCGTTCGAAATAGGTAATCCTCGTGTGAAGCATAAAAACCCACTTGCCATTTACCCCTAGCCGATCCGAAACCCATCCGAAGTATTTCACGAACGGGGAAACATTCAGATTGCAGCTGGGTAGAAAACGCAACTGTAGGAACATTCCGTTGAATGTTGCTAACCATTCATCAAAAGCCGCGCCCCTCAAAGAGATATAACCCCCCCCCCCCCCCCCCGCCGGAAAGACCCAGGAACATTGGCAGCCACATCAGCCGCGCTCCAATGACGTTTTTCCAATAAAAGCGGTCGCAACGTTGCCATCGATAATAGCCAAGTATAGAACGATATACTGTCGCCTGCCTATCCTTTTTTTCATTTGGTTCCGCATTTTTTTGTATATTTCATGTTTCGCTTTGTTGTGTCGTGCATGTTTTCATGATTTCCCCGTCATCATTCATTGAATGCACATCTGGGGCCTGACACACTGACCTTGGGGCTATTTTTTAAACCAATTTGGCTTATCAATGATCACCATTATTCGCTGTTCCGATTGTGTTCCTTGTTACAAGTTGCATGTGATACATGGTTGTCGAACGACGAGTTTTATTCAAAATCCTCAGACGAAATTGTAGGTAATGCGAGGCTGTTGTTCAGCCTCATATTGCATGATGCTGAAACAGCTTATTGCCTGGATTTTAGAGCAGAGTCCGCCTTTCGAAAATCCAGATTCCATTTCAGGAAGCCATTTGTGGTGAACATGCACGGGTTGTCAGAGCAGAAGGTGGGGGAGGGGTCGTAACTGGACCCTCTTCGAGGGGGGGGGTCGTACTCACACCGCCATTTCGCACATCCCCATGCTGTACCCTGATGCCAAATCACCTTAGCTTTTCACGTTTCTTTTGTCAACAGGATCGTGATCAAAGTGGTTGCAACTCTGGGAATCAGCGATGCAAAGAGACGAGTCCGTCATCAGCTGATCCGGAAGGAAAGGTAACAAAATTAGATGTTTTGTGGTGTTCACTACGAGAACGGGATGTTATTTATGAATCACAACCTCTCTTTGTCGTAAAATGAGTTGTGGTGCACACTCCACACTGCATTTCACGACGACAGCGTCGAAAGTGCTTGGGTAAGCACGTATACATCTATTGCGATTGCAGTTGTCCCGGGTTTTTGGACGTTTGAGTGAAGAAGAAAGCATAGTTATCGATATAGTGTTCTGAGCAAGTCGGCGTTTCGAGCGCCAATTAATAGCTACACTATCATTTTGCCAAAAAGGCCGGAGTCCCGCTAAGAAGATTCAAAATGCTGAATCGATGGTTGCATTTTCCTTTTCGCGCGGATTAGAGTCATATTCAGTCTATTCAAGCATTTTTGTCTCTATTTTCAATCAAATAAAATCTCTAAGTTTTAAGGACAGCGCGACTGCATCGTGTGGGAAGCTTCTTGCCTCCCACACTAGCGGACAAATGTTGTTGCCTTTCGCACAACGTCCTTCTTCTCCTCATTTCTGCACCTTTCCTGGAATGCCTAGAGAAGTTGAAATTTCAACTGTGAGCTTTTTCTCGAAACTGCAAGTAAAGTTGACTAAGGATCTAGTACTGGATTTTGTTCATAAAAACATACGCTTCACTATGTTTGTCATCTTTCGTGGTATCGCACGAAACCGACACCGAGCAGGAAGCAAGCGGGCAGCAGGCAGTGGTAACTGCATGACAACGGAAGGAGGCTTTGTTTTCAGAGCTATATATAAGGAAGTGAATAATTGAAACCACTGCTGAACATGGAAAGGAGCAGGGTAATTAGCAGGCTCACTGTCGCATAATGAATTCAGAGTACCATGAAGGAAAAGCACGCGAAACCACTTCTAGTTCCCGGATTCAATCAGTAACCGGGGAGATCTCGTAAAACGTTCATCTGAAAAATGGTTCAACAACAAGTTTCCATAGTGTGGGGAAAATCCAATGCAATGTCGTGACAACTCTGGCTCGAACCATTTTCGGTTAGTGCCTTTGAAACCCGATTATGCGAGCGCAAAAAACGACTTATTCGAACATCCAATGGGACCATAGATCTTAGGAACATTGTTCCATTATATCGCTCCACATGGATTTCCTTATATCGCACATGTGCGTTACCCAAGCACTTTCGACGTAAGGTAAACGGCAAAATCGCACTTGAAGGTACACGGCAAAATCGCACTTGAGCATGGCGTTGCGAGCGCGCGGTCCCGGCGCGATTTCCCTGGTTTTTCAGCGCTGAGCGTTATCCTCGGCTGTGTGTGGAGCGCACTCATACCTCGTGATCGCACAACCGAAGTATGAAAGCACTCTTGTGTGCCTGTATTTTGCATAATCGAAAAGGAATCAAAATAGATGTTCCAATTCAAAACTTTTCAAATGATGTTGCATAATGCTGACTATTATATTAGGTTGGCGGGAAAGTTCTGTCACATATTTTTCATAGACAAGCTTTCTTTTATTAGAGAGGCGTACAAATCAAAAATTATACAGCAAATGTCATTGCGGAATCCCTGCCAGTTTTCGAGCACTTCGTGGATGCCATCGCTTCACAATGGAGGCTGGCACGACGCAATTTGGACATCATCTCAACTTTGACTTGGGCTCAAGTCGTGGAGGTTTCTCGCTGTGCAACGGTTGAATACAGGAGTTGACTAGCAGCCAGAAAGAGCAATGCTTGGACTACATCATTGCAAGGGAGAGCCATCCAGCTCCATTGCATGAAGTACGGCCTCGAACTTCTTTTGACGGGGTGTGCTGCACCAGCACGTTGAAACGGACTGTTGCCGATGGATTTTGCCCTCTGTCTGACGATTCGCTTCAGATCTCGTAGCTGCTTGCGTACGGATTAACCGAGGAGACAGCTTCTTTATACAGTAGTTTCCCGCCCACAGCTATCTCAAGCTGAGATCACAGGTACTCCCAAACATCACTTCGCCATTCGCACCGTAGCCTCCCGCTCTGAAAGCCAGCGTCGTGGAAGATTGTCAGATGACTGTAGACATTGTCCATGTGCAGCTCCGTTATTCGGCGTCGACAGCTGTCATGCTGCCGGCCGGCGGGTAGAAGAAATAGTTTGAGGAAGCACTTGAGGGGTCAATGCCAAAGGTAGCGCGATAACATTCTTGTTCATATTGCACGATAAGGAGAGGCAGAAGTCAAGCCAGTGGTACCAATAGAAAGACCATTCTTTGATGTATAAGTGCTCATATTACCGGTTAACGCTTTTCAGAAAATTAGCAAATATTTTGGGTTCAAAAATATATGACAGAACTTTCCCGCCAACCTAATAGTGTACACTTATTTGAAAAATTACCCATTCAAGAGCGAAATGAACCCTGTTCTGATCTCCAGTGTTTGTAATCACTTTTCTGATGTCAATCACTGTAAGTAATGTAGCAAAGTAACGCCGAAAATCTCGCCATATTCAACCAACTTGATGCAGTTAAATTCAAAAGCTGGCTGCTTCACCAGTACAGCTTCACTGAGTCAACCGGGAATTATCTGAACCAACACCTTGAAAGTGCAAGGCATAAATCAATGTGTACACCTCCTCCCACCGTTTCCCCAGAACTGTCAGAAAGGTTGCGTATAAAGGTGCCCTATGCTTCGTATTGCTGGAGGCGCATTGTATATATCACTCACAAAACGATAGAATTGAGATATCCCTGAGCCTCATGCGTTATAATGTCTTCTTCAACAATGTTCAGTGAGTACTCGATATGAATTTTCATTGGTAAGCTGTCGCTGTGGTAACAGCTTTTTCAGACCTCAAATAAAACAAGCATAAATAGTGCTCCAAATCCTTATAACAATCAAGCTGATCAAAGTTCTAATTAGACTGGGTTCCCTCAATAAAGTCGCTAAAGTCTGTAATAGACAGTGAAAGCCTACATTTAATGACAACACCATCATATACTAACGGCCTACCCCTGACCGTGGTCCAATGCAACTAAAAGTCCTTAAGAGTGCGACATGCGTGACAGTTGCGAGGACTTTCTTATCGCGACCGCTATGAAATAAGCCTCATAGCCGCCATCAGCTCGTCCCTGATGCAGGAGATAACCGCTTGATAGCGATCGCTTCGTGTAATTTCCTTTCCAATGGGCTATCCTTCTAGCGGTGTGAACCGTGACTTTTAGGCGGGTAGGGGCTTTTTGTTGAAGAAAAATCGTGCCGTGCTGCGAAAATCCACTCCTGGAGTAAGACGAGGGATTCCGCAAGGCTTGCACGTGTTCGTCTATCCTTAATTATAAAGGTTGCATTGTTTCACCATTACCCTGCGCATGTGACGAAGTAGACTATCCCGCGTAGCTGGCAGATTTTATCCTCTGTACAGTAGGAACGGTTACTTCGGCCACATTTCTCTTCATAGATACGGGATGATGTTGGCAAGTTTCTCAGATTTTCGGGCGGCCGGCCGGATGCGCACTTCGAGAATGCAGAATGGTATTCTTTGACATCGGTTTCTTGTACCATTCGATCTCCCTGGTACCATCGTTCATTTGTTAAGGAATGGGAGAAAGCCGCGTTCGTCAGGATATACCACCGTGAAACGTGTGTTCGGGTCACATGAGTTCAAATTCTGAAGCATCGTTTCCATCACATAGGCGGTAGAACTAACGATGAAGACATCGTCTATGTAGCGCTTGTAAATACGAATCCAGTGATCAGAGATCTTCTTTCAATCCGGCCTAAATAGATGATGGCTGGTAGCAGCGAGATCCTCAATCTCTTCAATCACAGAATTGATGGCTTCTCTACTGTCCACGTTTGTAAAAAGAAACCGCGTCGAAGCTCGCATACGAAGCATCATCGGGTATCTCATATCGATCCAAACTGATATGAATTTTCCTACATCAACTAAATGAGCCGCAACATGTTGCTGAAGCGGCGACAGGAGCTTTGTGAGGAACCAGCTCACTCCTTTCGATGGGCCTCTACATGACGATATGATTGGTCTGATTTTGATTGAGTCTCCATCGACGCGTCGTAAGTCCACTTTTTCAGAGAACCTGTGCGTCTTAAACAATGCGTAGTACGTTGGCATCACCGGATATGTGATTATAAAACGTCTGGTTGTTCTTCTGTCCATAGTCCTACTCAGGATCCTGTTGTTGTGCGTCGGAATTCATCAGACTCCTTTCCGAAATCTTGCAGTGATGACGTTTCATAAGTCATGTTATCCGACAGAGACTTCCGATCTAGGCTTTTATCCATTGATTGTGTAAGGACGACGAAGTCTCCACTTTTAAAGCTCACACTATATCGAAGGTTGTTTTTGAAGAGCAGGTGTTTCTTCAAATCACGTCTCTGTTGTCTACGACTTACGGAAGCGTCGATGAAGACTCAGTCAAAAGCAGACCAATCATATCTTCTTGTGGAGGCCCTTCGGATAGAGTGAGCTGGTTCCTCACGAAGCTCCTGTCGCCGCTTCTGCAAAACGTTGCCGTTCATTTAGTTAACGCAGGAGAATTCGTATCAGTTTGGATCGATATGAGATACCCGGTGATGCTTCGTATGCGAGCTTCGACGCGGTTTCTTTGTATACGAACGTGGACAGTAGAGAAGCCATCAATTCTGTGATTGAACTACTGCGGCAACATGATGAAGTACATACATTCGGATTGATGGAGGAAGATTCACGAGCGCTCTTATTAGCAATCTTGAAGTGTAACATCTTCCATTTTGGTAGCATTTTCTACTCACAAAAGCGAGGGCTTGCCATGGGATTGAGGATATCGCTGCTACCAGCCATCGTCTATTTAGATCGGATTGAAAGAAGATCTCTGATCACTGGATTCGTATTTTACAAGCGCTACATAGACGATGTGTTCGTCGTTAGTTCTACCGCCTATGTGATGGAAACGATGCTTCAGAATTTGAACTCATGTGACCCGAACATACGTTCACGGTGGAACATTCAGACGAACGCGGCTTCCTCCTTCCTTAACAGGAAGGTCCGAA